CTGCACGTGGTGGGGTTGGCCCAGCTGTGGTCACAGTAAAGCAAACACTTAAACTGTTTGGAGGAGTGTGGGCAAGGGGAGGCCTCAGACAGGCCCTTCCGGGAATGGCTCCTGCCCCTGCAGCTCTCACCTGCAGCTGACTCGTTTCTGTTGGTTCCCATGGGTGGCAGATTTTTGCTTTCGGTTTTTAATAAAAATTCAGGCCCGCGCTTGGCGCCAGGCCTCCAGCAGCAACAAGACGCTACAGCGGCCCGCCGTCAGTTTTGGTTGATAAACGGCCACGTGTGGCATGTGGTGAAAAGGCGTCAGATTGGAAACATTCTTTTGTCCAAAATAAAAGTAGTGCCTTGGGGCCCTGAGGAGGGGTGGAGACCACAGCTGGGCTTTGATCCGGTGGGGAAGCGGAAGGGATTTTCTGGAAGCAGCCCGAGTTCTGTCACTGAGCGCAGTCGAATGACTGAGCCCCAGGTGTCCTTAGGCCCTGGGAACCGACCTGGCTGAGCAGAGCCCCTTCCCTGCTGGGCCTCAGAGCTGAGTGGGGAGGCTATGACCGGACCTTGCGGGCAGGCCGGGCCGTACCGCGGCTGAGCCTCGTCCCCGGGAGGGGCCCCACACAGGCGGCGCCGGGGGCGTGGGGGGCGCTTATCTCCCCGGCTGCTGTAACACATCACCGCGGGCTTGTTGGCTGAAGACAACACCTGTGTTCTCATAGTTCTGGAGGCTGAAATCCAGTGTCTTGTCACTGGGCTGAGATGGCGGTGTGGGCAGGGCCATGCTCCCTGCGAAGGCTCCAGGAGACAGTCCGTCCTTGCCTCTTCCAGCTTCTGGGGGCCCCATACGTTTCTCGGCTGTGGTCGCATGGCCTTCTCTTCTTAGTCATCACGTCTTCCTCTGCCTCCCTTCTGTGAGGGCACTCATGACTGCATTTAGGGCCACCTAGATAGTGTCCCCATCGCCCTGTCCTTCACTTGCTTACACCTGCAGTGTCTCTTGCTGTGGAAGGGGACGCCCACAGGTCCTGGGACTCAGCCTGGGCGCCTTTGGGACCAGTGTCAGCCCCTCACAGGAGGGGCGCTTGCTGGTGTGGGGGGAGCACTTCACCATAGACACAGGGCAGGAGGGGAAGGGGCAGTGGAGGCACGGCTCTCATGGGACAGCCAGGGACTTCTAGGTGGTTCCACGTGCAGGGATTGGCAGCTGGAAACAGCACAGTGCTGTGCGCAGGGAGCGCACGCTGCTTGTCCTTCAAGAGGAGGGCACCAGGCACTAGTAAAGATTCACTTTTTAGGAAAGTCTTTCCCTCAATTGTGTGGAGGATGGTTGGAGAGGGTCTAGACCTGGGATCTGCACACTCCCTGTGGAGGAATCAGCTTTGCGGGCTGAGCAGTCCTTGACTCTGCAGGATCTGCCAGCTTAACCTGCAGGGCTGGGCCCTCCAGGCCGATGGGTGAAGGTGCTGGTAAAGTGAGGAGGGAAGCAGCCAGACAGCAGTGGGTGGTCAGCGCCGAGTCCTCCCAGGTCTAGCCCCGCCGGCCGCAGCATGGGAGGCCTGCACACTACATGCACAGTTTACACGTGGAGAAACGGAGGCCCAGAGGAGTGAGTCACTTGTCTGAGGTCACGCAGCTGGTAGGTGGCAGAGCTCAGGTTGGACCCAGACAGTCTAGGTCATCAGGACCCCAGGGTGGGACAGGACCGGGGCAGTGGGGGTGGGAATCCAGAGCCAGGTGCGGACGGGTGAGGGGACCTGGCACCTGCCGGACGTGGGGAGGTGAGGGAGCGATTTTGACCTCTGCCCTGGTTGACCGCTGGTGGCTGGGAGGCCCTCAGCCAGCAGTACATTCCAGAAGGGCCACCTGTTCCTGGGGCAGGAGGCTCCGCAGCTGGGCTGCTGGCCTGGAATTTGGGGGAAAGGTTCGGGCTAAGAGGTGTGGATTCAGAAGGAGAAGAGGTGGGCCGCAGGGAAGGAGGACCGCAGGCAGGTCACCACTTGTGTCTCCGTGCCTGCTGGGAGGAGATGGGGCAGGACACCCCAGCGTTGGGGTCTTGGGGCTGTGCCCCGGGAGCAGGCCTGCTGGGGGGGTCATCTCCGGGAGCAGAGGCGGGCCCCGGCATGGAGCACCCAGGAGGAACAGGAGAGTGAACCTCGGCCAGGGTGGAGAGGGTGGGGAGGGACAGAGGTGTCACCGAGTGGGGATGGGCTCTCCGTTCATTCCTAGGTTCACAGGGTCCCCACCCCATTCACCCACAGCATTTACTGGGTGCTTTCAGTGTATCTGCGAGTGTAATCTGGGGGCAGAACGGTGGCTTGGGGAGATCTGGACAAGCACAGGCTGAGAAGGACCCAGAAGAGCAGCAGTGCCCCGGAGGCGTGAGCGCCCGCGTGGCTTCCGCCGGCCCCTGGCTGCTGATGGCAGCTGCGGAGTTGGCCGGGAGCAGGCAGGCAGGAGCCATGGTGGCAGGGAGGGTGGCAACTCAGGGATGGAGAGAGTCGACCCGGGGTAGGGAGGACGACACATCACAATGGTGACACCTCTGCGCTGCCAGGTGCTGTGTCCCCTGAACCTGTAGCTCTGTGGCAGTGGGGCCGCTCCACCATCAGGGCTGGGTCCCGGGCTGTGGGCTTGCAGTGTAACCAAGCTGGGGCTTGGGTCCGGGGGCTGAGGGACTGCTCAGGAAGTGGGTGTACTTTTCCTTCCTTCAGCAAGTGTGCCCTGGCTTGTCCGGCTGTCAGCCAGGAGTGTGGGCTCACCCTGGGCCAGCCCCTGCCCGAGGAGTGAAGGCAGAGAGGACACAATGACATAAGACATTGAGGGCAGTGGGGAGAAGCTGGATGCTGCGGGAAAGGGCGGGAGGGCACAGGGCTGGCAGAGAGGTCCTTCCAGGGAGCTGATATCTTAAGAAACCCTGGATGGGGAAGTCAGGCAGCCGTGTGAAAAGTGCAGGTCTGGGGCAGAGGGACAGCTAGCCATGCCCTGGGGGACGAGGGAGGCGGCGTGGCTGTTCGGGTTGGTGTGCAGAGAAGCTGGCTCTCTGAGGGGTGAGGGCTGGCGGGGTCTCGGACGTAGCTGGAGTTTGCTCACGAAGCAGGCAGTGACACAGCCCATGGACTCACTTGAATAGCAGGTGTTGCTGGCTGCGGGGCACCAGTGGAGGTGGGCGGGGAGTGGCAGCAGGGCGGGAGGGAGGCCGTGCGGTTCCGGTGAGAAGGGCCGAGGGGGCGGGTGGCCGGATTGCTTGGATTGCTCAGGCCGCTGAGGGAGGAGTTTCTCCCTAAGGAGGGAGCTGTGGTGGTGGTTCCTCTGCCTTTGCCTTTCGAGGTGGTGGTGGTGGTGGTTCATGATCTTTTGTCCAGAAGAATGCATCTGCTGGGGTTTCGATGGAAGCTCTGATCTGCCCCATGCGATGACAGCCGTCTTTCAGCACCACCTCTTCCTGGGGGAGGATGTAGGGGCAAATAGGTTTGAGGAGAGAGGGGAGTGAGACTCGTGTTTTGAAAGACTTGTGTTTAGGACGCGTGTTAGAAGCCCAGGCGGAATTTTGCCAAGGAGCTGAGGGGTAGGGCTGGGAGCTCAGGCGCGGGGCTGGGTGCGGGCGCTGGGTGGCTTCGGCTCAGCGGCGCTTTAGAAGCCTTGGTTTGGTGCCGGAAGAGGAAGGGCCGAGACTCCAGTCTCCCCCGCAAAGGCCTCAGCGACCAGCTCCGTGGCAGCCTGGGGGACTGCTTCCTCAGGGAGAAGGGCGCAGGGGCCAGCACCTGGAGAGGGGATGGGAGGGGCTCCGAGGCCCCTTTGTGGGCCCCCTGCATCTTGCTTGCTCTTTAGAGGTTGCTTCTCTGCACTTGCCCCTGTGGCCAAAACCTAAGAACCTTTCCAAAAAGCGAGGGAAAGGGAAGGCCTGGCTTCCGTGTGGACCTGCTGCCATGGTTTTCCGTCCTTGGGGCTGGGCCGTCTGGTCTGCGTGGGGCGTCCAGGTGGTGCAGAAGCACCACACGTGTCCCCATGTCCTTCCCAGCTGCTGCCTGGTGGGGGGAGGAGCATCTGCCTGTCCGGGGTCGTTTTGGGGATCGAGGCAGACCTGTTCCGTGGCCTGAGGGAAGTGTCTCAGGCTGGGACCTCCTGAGTTACAGCCAAGGGCTGACATTCTGCTGATTCTACCCTGGGACTGCTGTGGCCTCGCTGAGCTGCTGGGGACAAGAGCTGCTGTTCCTGGCTGCCACCGGCCCTGGAGCTCTGCCTCGAGGCCACGCCAGGCCCCAGCAAGCCCGGCTGTCCTTGCAGCAGGGCCCCTGACAGGCTGGGCTCCTGGGTGTCCAACCCTGGTCCCTCAGCCACGCACATCACAGAAAGGCACTGGGGACAGGTGTTGCCAAAACCAGAACTGTTTCTGTTTGGCTTAAATGTGTTTTATACTAAAAATTGAATGTTACAGAACCCTAACCCAGGAGAAGGTTAAAAACCCACTGACTCAATGAGCATGTGTCTGCTCTGTGCACTAGGAGCTGGGACACACATGGACAAACTGATAACTGTAATGTGATGTCGGGTGGTGACAGATGCCAAGGAAGGGGCTGGAGGGTGCCGTCAGGAGCAGAGCCATCAGGGAGGGCTTCATGGCTGAGGTGACCTTTGATTAAAATACAGACCTGTACCCTCTCTGTTTTCCTGACTCGCCTGACCCCCACCTCCCCTCCCACCCCTGCCCTCACTCCCTGCTGTTTCCTCTTTCCCAAGACTGCAGAACACTAGCCCACACAGAACTTTCTCTCTCTGAGCTTTCTGTCTTGCCCACTGGGACAGGGGAGATGGAATAATTTTGCTTTGGAGGGACTTCTCATCTTACTGAATAAGAGGGAACAGAGATACCACTAGAGACAGGGTTTAATTAAGCCACGGGAGTAGGAACGATCGCAGTGTCGAGGCCTCAGACCTGCACCTTCATGAAAGTGGCAGGTGCCATGCCTGGCGGGTCACTGACCTCTCCCCTCTCTCCCTGGGTTGCAGGTCCCGTCTGCCCTTCACTCTGATGCCCGTGCAGCCCTCCAACCCCCTGGAATGGAATGAGTCTATGCACTCCCTCCGGATCAGCGTGGGGGGCCTTCCCGTGCTGGCGTCCATGACCAAGGCCGCAGACCCCCGCTTCCGCCCCCGCTGGAAGGTGATTCTGCCGTCCTTCGTGGGTGCTGCCGTCCTCTGGCTGCTCTACGCCCACCGCCCGCCCCCCGGCCGGGCCCCCGCACCCAATGCCCACAACTGGAGGCTCGGCCAGGTGCCCGCTGACCGGTACAATGACACCTACCCCTTGTCTGCCCCCCAGAGGACGCTGGGCGGGACTCGGTACCGAATTGCCCTTATCGCCGACCTGGACACGGAGTCAAGGGCCCAGGAGGAAAACACCTGGGTCAGTTACCTGAAGAAGGGCTATCTGACCTTGTCAGACAGCGGGGACAGGGTGGCTGTGGAGTGGGACCCCGGCCACGGGGTCCTGGAGTCCCACCTGGCGGAAAAGGGGCGGGGCATGGAGCTGTCGGATCTGATCGTCTTCAACGGGAAGCTGTACTCTGTGGATGACCGGACGGGGGTTGTCTACCAGATCGAAGGCTCCAAGGCCATTCCTTGGGTGATTCTGTCTGATGGTGATGGAACTGTGGGGAAAGGTAAGTGGGCCGCCGTCCCCGGTGCCGAGTTGCAGTGCCAGAGGACAGGTCGGGGCTGGCCGTCAGCTGGCTAGGTTTATACACGTGCGCAGTGAAGCAGCCATGGGTCCAGAGGGAGGGGACATCGGGGAGAGCCATGAGACCTCAGACTGAAGTGGTACCCCGAGGTGTGAGCCTCTGCTGGGGAACAGCCGGGGACCCTTCAGGAGAAGGGCTGGGCTTCACCACCACTGCTCTCATTGGCCCTCAGGAACGAGCCCCTTTCTGCATCTTAAACGGTGTCTGGAGAGCACACTGGGACTGTGTCCTCCACACATCTTTCCTTTAAAGCTAGGGGGGTGTCAGATCTTCTCATTTGGAACCGAGATTTTATTAAAAAGCAAACTTCTCCCTTCTGAAAACCCAGCAGAAGGAGGGTCTGTGTGTGGGCAGCAGTGACCCCCGCTTTGAGTGGCATCCAACCTCGGACGGCAGCCATGGGCCATCCACCAACTCTGTTGTTGGCCAGCAAGCGGGAACAGAGCTACAAGGGGTCACCTGAGAGCCCAGAGCAGTCAGTTGGGGTGGCAGGAGAGATGACACAAACTTCTGTGTGCGCCTGTGCTCTCAGGCGGATCCACACCTTCTAGAAGGCTAAACTCCACTGCAGGCATCTGAGGTCAAAGGTAGAATCACATTAACTCGCTGAGCCCTGCACCGGCTGCCGGTCCCTCCCCGTGACCCTCCCCTGGTGGTAAAATCTCTCCTGCATTTGCCCAAGGCTGGGACGAGTTGGCAGGTTTTAGAGAAAATGTTGGTTGCCCATTGCCTGTCTTGACGGTCCGTGGTTAGGCCCCATCTGGTAGCTCTGTTTGCCCCTTGGAGCGGGAGGAACATGAGGCACAGGGAGCCTGGGGTCGCCCTGTGCTCAGGTCACCCAGGGGGAGCAGCGAGAAGTGCCCTGGAGCCACCTGCGGACAAGCGCCTCACGGGGCAGCCCCGGGGCCGGCGAGGGGCTTGGGAAATGCTTGGGAAGCACGCGCGACTGAGAACGTGGTGTACGAGCAGGTGGGAACATTCTAGAAGAACAGAAGCACCCCCACAGCCTTCCAAACTGGGTCCCCAGCAGAGTAAGCCTGTCTGAGGAGATACGCACGCTGGTTGGCATGGCCACCGTGGGCCCCCACGCCAGGCCCCTTGCTCAGCTCTGGCCGCCGGCATGTACTTCGCCTGGGGACCTGTCAGGTGTGACAGCGAGGACAGCAGGCTGTCTCCGTGACACTTCCCTCGGGTGGGGCATAGTCCTGAGGTGGGGCTGACAGCCTGAGAAACGAGGATCCCAGGAGCTTCAGAGTGGAGGGCGGGCCTCTTGGGGCTGCGGGGCCGGTGACGCAGCCATGCCGGAGCAGTGCCCACGGAGAGTTCCTGCGCCGAGTTTGGAAGAAAAGCGCGGCGGTTCCCGGAGGACAGGGAGAGGGAGGTGGTGCCCGTCTGCCCTATGCGAACCCCGGGGGATTGCTCGAAGGAGAGGGGCCCAACTGCCAACCCCTGGGGATGGAGCTCCCAGCCAGGCTGGCCCGTTCCCTGCTCCTGTCGCTGCCCCGAGTCAGTCCAACACAGGTGACCTCTGACACCGAAGGCCGCCGGGCTGAGAGGCTCTTCTGCGCTTGCCTGATGGGACTCACGGGAGCCAGGCTAGCAGGGCTGACTGTCATCTCACACCCGCCCTGTCTCCCTGTCCCCAGGCTTCAAAGCTGAGTGGCTAGCCGTGAAGGATGAGCATCTGTATGTGGGCGGCCTGGGCAAGGAGTGGACCACCGCCACGGGGGAGGTGCTGAACGAGAACCCAGAGTGGGTGAAGGTGGTGGGCTACAGGGGCAGTGTGGACCACGAGAACTGGGTGTCCAGCTACAATGCCCTGCGGGCCGCCGCTGGGATCCGGCCACCAGGTGAGATCCCCGGGCCCCGGGGCAGGCACTGAACAGGTGGGTGGCTGCCAGTGTGTTTGCTTCTTGCTTGTGTGATGGATTGGCTGTCTCTGATGGCTCCTCCTGCCTGGCCTGTGGGTTCTGGGGTCAGTGAGCCATTTTCTTTCTCTCCGACTCACCCTGATAGCCCCTGCGGGCTCGGGCTGTGGCCCTGTCTGAGCGTCCTGGCTGCTCCCCTGGGGTGGGGCCTTGCACCTAATGCAGTAGGAGCAGGTGCACAGGACTTTGGTTCTTGTCTTCGCTTCATGGAGTCATGGTTTGTGGTGGGAGCTGTGATGCTTGGAGTGGCCCGGTCCCCTCTAGTCTTGGGGGACGTGACTCTGAGGACAGGGCTTCACCCCCAGACAGGCTCAGTTTCCATCCTTAAACACAAAGGGAACGTGCTTCCTTCTCAGCTTCGAGCTGGCCTCTCCCCACCTGTCCTGATCTGTCTTCACAGATCAAACCTGCATGTTCCTGTCGCTCTCTTCCCTGGGCTCTCCTCTGTGCCCCTTGAGTAGCACCAAGGAGTCAAAAGACAGACAGACCTCACAGCCGCGGCTACTCAGCGGCGCTAGGGAAGCCAGGAGGCAGGGTGGCTGGGGAGATTCCGCCCGGCCCCTCGGTCTGTGCTGCGCTCCTGGCTTGGTTACGCTGGACAGTTGGAAACAGACAGACGGAGATCTAAGGAGAAGATGCCGGCCGTGCTGCCTGGGCCCGGGCCACCCCGCCTGCAGGGCTGGGGGAGGGCGGGGCAGGGCAGCAGGTGACCGGCCCCTGTGTCCCCAGGCTACCTCATCCACGAGTCCGCCTGCTGGAGCGACACGCTGCAGCGCTGGTTCTTCCTGCCGCGCCGGGCCAGCCATGCGCGCTACAGCGAGAGGGAGGACGAGCGCAGGGGGACCAACCTGCTGCTGAGCGCCTCCCCGGACTTCGGCGACATCACCGTCAGCCGCGTGGGCGAGGTGGTCCCCACGCACGGCTTCTCCTCCTTCAAGTTCATCCCCAACACCGACGACCAGATCATCGTGGCCCTCAAGTCCGAGGAGGACAGTGGCCAGATCGCCACCTACATCATGGCCTTCACGCTGGACGGACGCTTCCTCCTGCCTGAGACCAAGGTCGGGAGCGTGAAGTACGAGGGCATCGAGTTCGTTTAGGCTGAGGCGCCAGGACGGGGAGCCCGGCCAGGACGGGCTGTTTGAAGCCCTGTCAGGCCCCAGATTCTATAAAGACCCGAGGACTGCACTTCTATGTGGTATTCAGTTTTGCCCTTTTTTTTCTTTTTCTCGGAACTCTGAGGCGTGCCTGGTTTAGAGATTTCCAGAATAGGAGCTCAGCCCAGGGTGTGTAGTGCAGCCTGAGACGCGGCTCCGCAGCAGGGAAGGGCCGGTCCCCGGCCACGGCCACGCGTGTCCCTGCGCTGCCATCTGGTGGCAGAAGCTGGTCGTTGCAGGCGTCTCAGCCTGAGGCCCCTCCTCTTTATCTCCCCCCTTTCTTTTCTTACCATTTGTTCTTTTGTTCAATAAATATTTCCTGAGCTCCTACTGCGTGTCAAGCAGTGTGCCCCCCAGGGGAACAAAACAGTGAGGCTGAAGTGGGCCTGCCTGCTTGGGGCCCGCCCCTTCTCATCCTTCCTGTGAACCTCGGCCATTAAATCCGCCACTGCAGGACACCACAGGGCTGAGTGAGCCAGGCAGGCCTCCAGAAAGGTCTGCCCCAGTGCTGCAAGCTGGGCACGGGCCCCCGTGCCCCCCCCCCCCGAGCCTCACATCAGGCACCTCCGTTCAGGTGACCGACCCGTTCTCCCCTCTGGGGGAATTTGGTGGCAGTGTAGCACTTTGAAGTTTTAATTATTAACTTATATTAATTAAAGCAGTTTCCCTTCTTATGAAGTGGAATTGCCAAACCTTATCAGAACAAAGTCTTGCAGTTAACAAATTCATTCCCCTCAGTGGAGGAAGTGATAATTATTAAGGCGGGTTTTCAAGCATTTCTGAGTCCTTGGCCAAAGGATGCAAAGATAAGGACAAAGATGCACTGCCTTTTTCTAGCAACTATCAGGAGTTGTCAGGCCCTTAAGGAATTTCATGAGTGACTTGAATTTTTATCTCCTGGCTCAAGCCTACACCCGGCCCCAGGCGCTGGGACCCCTTTACTCTGGCGCTTGTGGACAAGGCCTGCCTGCCCTGTGTTTTCTGTCCTGGCCTTTATTCCTCCTCTTCCTGATGGGAGCTTTGTAGCCTCTTCTCCCTGGAAACTCTTTGCACAGACCTTGGCGTGTCTTAATCCCTGCGGTCTCTCCTCCACTCTCCTGGGTAAAGGCAGAGGGTTTGGGAGAGAGGTCAGCCGAACGCAAGCCTGGAAGGACTGTCGCCATCAGCCCACTCACCCAGAAGCTACCTCACCCCTCAGGAGGATGGAGGCTCCTGATGGCCGGAAGGGCCGTACTTCAGGCTCTGGCTGTTCCCGGGGGGCCCCGTCTCACAGACTCCCCGACTCCCCAGCTTTAACACGGCCGCTCAGAGGGAACCTAGGAAGGAGCCCTCTCTCTTGCACTGGTTGTTCCTTCTGCTATAAGACAAATAGCAAGAAATGGAAAACAAGCTTTTGAATGTGACACGTTTCTCTGGAACTCAGGTCCTACCAGACGTAGCTGGGAAGGCCCACGTCTTTTCTGACTTTGCCCAGCTGGCCTGAACCGCCTCCTTGATAAACATCCATGACATTAAGGCTGTGTGATCTTAAAAACACAGAGATGGAATTAGGAAGCTTGGAGGTCTGGGGACAGTCACTGAGTTGAGACCCTCTGCCCAGGTATCCAGAAGTACCATTTTGCCATGTGATTTTTAAATATTCTGAAGCTAGACTTCCCTCTCCACCCTTCCCTCCATTTTTCGCTGCTGTAAGGGTAATGATTGTGTTCCTTCCTACTGGAGCCATTGTTTTGTAAACAATAAAATGAGTTCTCTTTGTCTCTTGGTCTGTGTGGGCTGTTGGTGGCCCCCAGGGAATACAGAGCTGGCGAGCCTCATAGGCTGAGTGAAGGGTGCGCCCCCTGTTGGGGTGAGAAGGGATCCTGGCAAGGAGCAGGCCAGAAGCATTCTGCAGCCAGGAGCCTTTCTGGAAACAGTCGTGGAGTCCAACTTCTCCTAGAGTCTGAAGATGCTGTTTTGGTCAAAATGGTGACGAGAATAGGCTCTGAGGTCACTGCCAGGTTCCAGTCCTGGCTCTGACACTTTTCAGCTGTGTGACCATGGGTAGATCGCCTGACCTCTCTGTGCGTCAGTTTCCTCATCTGTGAGAGAATGATCATAGCGGAGCTCCTTCACAGAGCTATCGTGAACAGTAAACAACACCCTTACACAGCAGGGACTTAGAAAATTACTTGACACTTACTTAGCGACCCTGGGCCAAGCAACAATGAAGATGTGGGGTTCTTTGTGATCCTCGCAAGAACAGTTCCAGGAGGGGAGGAGCCGGAGCACATTGGGCTGAGGTGGGAACGGCACACGAAAGAGGAAGACACTGAAAATCAGCTCTTGACCGTCTCTTTAAGAAGCTGTGACTCAGGCTTGCTTGGCACTCACACAATTCATTAGCAAAAGGAAACTCCCAAAGTCATCTGAGAACTGGGTTAAAAAAAGGAGGAAAGATTAATTTCTTACCAGATGTGAATCGTGTCTTCTGTGGTGCTTTAAATTGGTCAATTTCAAGGTGAATTATGTCTTAATCAAATTGTTAAAAGATTTGAATAAAGCAAAAATAAAACACCTTCACACAAAGAAAATTCCAAGCCCAGAGGACTTTACTGGTAAATTGTGCCAAACGTTCAAGGAAGAAATTACAACAAGTCAACAGAAAACCTTCCATGATTGTGGAAATAGGAAATCATTCTGTGAGGGCACCACTGCTGTGACCCCAAAACCAGACAAATAAAAGAAGAATACAGACCAGTGAGTGCCCCTCATGAACACAGAGGCAAAAATATTTGACAAAATTACCCAGTCGAGGCCAGCAGCATATAAAAATGAAAATACTTCACAACAAAATATGGTTTATTCCAGGAATGCAAGGTTGATTTAATATTCTAAAATCCACATAATTCACCAGATTAACAGACTAAAAAGGATAAAACATATGACACTCTCCAAAGATACAGAAAAAGCATTTCACCAAATCCACTACCCATTCATGATTCAAAAAAAGAAAAAAAAAAACCCAACTCTGAAAAATCCACAGCTAACGTTGTACTTCGTGGTGAATGAATGTTTTCCCTTCTAAGGCTGGGAATAAGGCAAGGATGCCAGCTTTCACATTGTTTCCCACCACTTAACTTTTTAATTTCAAAATCATTTTAAACCACAAGGAAGTTGCAAAAGTAACACAGTGTTGCCGTGTTCCTTTTTTCACCAGACTAAACACAGATTCGCTCTCCCATATGCGGTAAAGCCAATGTACTGCCCCCAGGTGGTGGTGAAGGGAAGTGCAGAGTTTATTGCAGGGTGTCCAGCAAGGAGTCCAGGGCAGCTAGTGCTCAAAAGGCCTGAACTCCCCGAAGGCTTTCAGGGGAAGGTTTTTAAAGACAGGGTGAGGGAGGGGGTTGTGGGCTGTGTGATCAGCTCGTGAACGTGCTTCTGTTGGGTCGGTGGTGAGGTCATCAGGAGTCCTCATCGTCAACCTCCTGGTTCCAGCAGGTCTGGGGTCCCTGTGCTTGTGGGCAGCACGCAGTTAACTTCTTCCACCCACTGGGGGTTTCGGTGTCTGCAGAACAGCTCAGAGGACAGGGCTCAGAATGTTATCTAGAGCCCTCGAGGAGGAAGTAAAGGCCCTGGACTTTGCTTAATGGCTAAACTATGATGATTTTGTCTTGCTTGACTGCTTTCCTTTCTTTCTGCCTTTTCTCACTTCTATGATTGTATGTACTCTTTGGAACTTGGAGAAGCCAAGGAGACTTAACGTTTTTCCACAGACAAGAGGCGGGCAGAGGACACGGTTGGTGTGGGTGTCTGTCCCGGGGAGGCCCCACAGGGTCCTGTTCTTCCTCCAGTGACAGCCTCTCACGTTGCCACAGCTCCGTGATCCACCCAGGAGACTGGCATTACGCCCATCACCCACCGTCCTGTGGCAGGTCCCAGGTAGTGCAGTTAGGCAAGAAAAAGAAACATCTTTAGATTGCAAAAGAAAGAATGAAAATGTCTTTATTCGCCAAGGACAAGATCAAGTAGCTAAGAAAACCTGAGGACTCTTCAAAGAACTAAGGGCTGAGTTTAGCAGAGCTGAAGGGTACGCAGCTCAAATACAGAAACTCATTTTATTTCTATATGACTGCAGTGGACAATTGGAAGTTTTTTAAAACGGTGTCATTTATAATAGTACCAAAACCATGAAATAGTTAGATAAAAATTAGTAAAATATGTGCAGGATCTATATGCAGAAAGTACAAAATGCTGATGAAAGAAAGAAGATCTCGATAAACAATATGCTGTCTTCAAGGGGGAAAGACTCGATTAGACTCAATGTTAATCCTGTCTTCTGTTGGAAAACACAGTTGGAGGACTTGTGCTATGTGACTTCAAGGCTTATTGTAAGTCATCGAGATGTGGTAGTGATGTAAGAATAGATATATAAAGTCAGTGGAACAGAAGAGGGTCCAGAAATAGACCCATTTGTATGCGGCCTGTTGATTTTTGACAGAGATCCCACGGTGACTCAGTGGGGAAAAGACTGGGTTTCCATAAGTGGTGTTGGGACAACTCTATTCTATAAGGAAATAAAGGATTGAAACCCTTACCTCCCACCGTACGCAGAATCAACTCATAATAGATCATAGACATAAATGCAAGAGCGAAAACTACAAAACTCCTAGAAGACATGGTAGAAAATCTTTGTGACTTTGGGTTAGGCAAAGGTTTCTTAGATATGACACCAAAAGAATGGTGAAGTGAGATTTATCCAGATTCAGAACTTTTGCTCTTCAGAAGACGCTGTTAAGAAAATGAAAATGCAAGCTTTTCCCTCAAAACAAACCTTGCAAATCATATATCTGCTGAAGGACTTGCAGCCGGAATATATGAAGAACTTACACAACTCAGTAATAAGACAAACAGCCCAATTTTAAATGTGCCTAAGATTTAAATAGACAATTCACCGGGGTGGGGGTGTAGGAATGACGGATGAGCGTGTGGAACGATGCTCAACATCATTAGTCGTAAGACAGATTTCACTCCACACCCACCAGAAAAGACTGACAATGCCAAGTATTGGAGAGGATTCAGAGCCACTGAAACAGTCATAGGAATTGTTACTAGGAATACAGAAAGGTGAGGCCACTTTGGAAAACAGTTTGACAGCGTCTTAAAAGTTAAGCCTACATCTCCTACATGACCCTGTCATCCTATCCCTGGGCATTTACACAGGCTTGTCTCCAAATGTTCCTAACAGCTTTCTTTGTAATACGGTGGTCCCCTTCACACCTTTCTCCTCAGGGGTGCTTTCCAGACCCCAGTGGGTGCCTGAAACTGGGGGTAGTGTCAAAGAATAGTCCAGAATAGTCTGTCTTTTCCTGTGCATGCATGCCTGTGATAACGTTTAATTTATATTATCAGGCACAGTAAGAGAATGTCCAAATCACAGCATCACTGCTCTGTGCTTTGAGGCCATGATTCAGTAAAATAAGAGTTACCCAAACACAAGCACCGTGATACCTTGACAGTCGACCTGATACCCGAGTCGGCTACTGACTGGCCGACGGGCAGGATACACCAGACAAAGGGATGATTCACGTCCCAGGAGGGACAGCACAAGGTTTCATCTCCCTACTCAGAATGGCACACAATTCAAAATTTATGAATTGTTTTCTTTTTGGAATTCTCCATTTAATATTTTTGGACTGCAATTTACCTACCGCAGGTAACCGAAACTGCAGAGAGCGAAGCCGTGGATAAGGGGGGCAAACCATGGTCCACAGTGGGAATGACGCGAATGTCCATCGGTGCATAAACTCGTAAACAGGTTGTGGTCTGTCCACCTCGTGGACTACTGCTCAGCAAAAAAAAAAAAGAGCCAATGGCCGATACTCTCAGTGACATCTCAAAAGCGTGTGCTAAGTTGAAGAATATGTTTCCATTTCTGCGAAAGTCTGGAACATGCAGAGCTGCAGTGGCGGCTGGCAGGGTGGGGGCTGGCGGAAGGGACCGTCTGCAGAAGGCAGAAGAGAACACTTGGAGAGACGGGAATGTTCTGTATACGAAGACTGTCATGGTTACCATCTGTGTCCCTTTGTCAAAACTCGTTACATCGATGCATTTTATTGTATGTCAGCTAGTTGTTTTTAAGGAGAGAAAAGTGTGGGCTTGAGTCCCGCCCTCCCTCTTTCCGGCTGCATCCCGGGGCAGCTTTCCCCTCTGCACCTCTCTTTTCTCATCTATTAATAAAGAGTTAAGAGCCGCCCCTTCCCACAGCGGCCTGGAGCATTGAACGGGTCACTTCCTGTCAAAGGTTTATTCTCTGTCAGCATTACAGGAGGCTTTCCCGTGTTTGGCAGGAGAAGGGGCACAGAAAAGTTTCTTACAGCTCGCAGGGCTCTGGTGTCTGACAGCCCTCAGGGCTCTGGTGTCTGACAGCCCTCAGGCCGCTCCCTGCCGTGTCTCGGCTGTGGCCCCCACGTTGTCACGGCTGGCCCGATCGTCTGTGGCGTCGGCCTTTCACGGTCTCCTTAGCGGAAGCGAGCCGCTCCTCTTGGAGCAGATGGTCTCAAGCCCTGAGAGCTGGTGGGGTGGAGAGGGACAGACACCTGTGCCTTGGTTAAGTTTCGGGGCCTCAGTCTTACATTTTAATACCTGCCCACGAAGGACTTTCCAGCAGGAAAGGACTCTGGGGCTGAAGATGTGGCAACTTCAGGTTCTCATCGTTGCTACCCACAAAGGACTGCCTCTGCACTCCTGACCTTGACCGGCCACTTGCAAAGGCCAGGGA